CCCACCAACCCTTGCATAACCACAGAAAAGTAGCCCTTCCTGTTGAGGTACTCTGTGGCAAGGTGGGCTGGTGCCAAAACAGATGGCAGACATATCCCTATTGCCTCGCCGCAGTTCAGGAACCCCGTTCCTGCAAATCCATCCACTATGTCCTGCACTTTAATGGCCCCCCACACTTGCATGGCAACAGCCCCCATTGTGGATTTCCCACTGACTAGTAGCAATCCAGCACTGCCAACTTTCGCCGAGTTACCGTCACTCTTCTTAACTGTCAGTGCAGCTGTCATTCTGGTGTCCCTGCGCTGGCGGGCTGGGGTGAGCTCGGCACACAGATCCAGGAATGTGGCCTTTTGCATCTGAAAGTTTTGCAGCCACAGCTTGTCATCCCAAACTTGCCTTACAATGTGATCCCACAAGTCAGTGCTTGTTTCTTGGGCCCAGATGCAATGCTCAACTGTCTGCAACTTCTCCGTGAATGCCACCAATAACCTTGAATTGGTTTTCACCGTGTCCCACAACAAACTGTCCTCCACAAAATCATCACGTCCCCCACTGCTCTGCTTCTTCTTGTGGCTTTGCAAATACCAGGGGATCATTTGTCCTGTGTTTGCAACGTTGCTGACAGTAGTGCAGAGCTGTGCAGGCTCCATGCGTCTGTCAGGATGGCAGACAGTGAGAAGTGCCACACAAAAATGATGGGATAGGGATGGCATTAGGGTGACCAGATGAGAGGAAGAAAATATCAGGACACATGAGGGGGTGGGGGGGCAGTGTCCGCCAATGGAGCAAAAAAAAAAAAGCCGTCAGAGCGAAATATCGGGACAAATTGCGTCCCGAACAAAGATCGGTCGGGATGCGGGACAAACACCTAAATATCGGGACAAATTGCATCCCGACCAAAGATCAGTCAGGATGCGGGACAAATACTTAAATATCGGGACGTCTGGTCACCCTAGATGGCATTATGGGATAGAGAAAGTTGCATGATGGGAACGTGACCTCTTGTTCCCAGTCTCCTCTGTGTGAGTTGTTTCTGTCCCACAATGCATTGCCAACATTTCCCAAAACACAGTGCCCTGGATCATAGCAAGTTGCACACTGGGTTGCCTACCCACGGTGCACTGCACTGTGCATTGACACAAGCACTCCTGGTGAGTATGCGCCGTGTCCACTCAAGAAGCCAAGTGTGCACATGCATGAGCGATATCCTTACTGCAGCAATCAGAGTTTGTAGTGTAGACATGGCCTCAGATTCTCTTCCCAAATTCGAATCCATTTTCAATCACTAACTGTGGTATGTAACGTAACGGTGCAGACCCACCGCCACGGTGCCTCCTGCTGGTCGTGCTGGGAATTAGCTCTCTTGGACCAGCAGGGTGCCTTTTACTAGTGGTGTCTCACCCGCCGTTATCTCCACCGTCTCCACCATCTAGACCCACATCGCTCCCGGATCGCGGTGTCCTCTTCGGGACACACTCCTCTGGCTGTGCCCCAGCCCACTGTCTCCCCCGTTTCGGGAGACAGGCAGTCCTCAGTCCCTCTACTTGCCTCAGCGGCCAACTGCAGTCTCTAGACTAGCCCCTGGCTTCCGGAACAAACTGCAGTCTGGATTTAGGCCACTCTCCTCACTGGCAAGTGGGGGGGAGGAAACCCAGGCCTGCCCACTACTCTGGGTCCCAGCCCAGTGCTGCTATAGCTGGCAGGCACTTACTGCCCCTCCTCCTATTCCCGCTTCCCACTTTCCCTGGGCCACTTCCCCCGTAGCCCTAGCACGTTCCCTGTCCTTGCTTCAGGGCCTCAGTCTGGCCATGGTCAGCCAAGAGCTCCCCTATTTCTCCGCTACCCTACCCAGCACTGCAGTATCTCCAGTGCTCCTCGGCACAGTTCTTCCCCCTTGCCCTCCAGGGAAACACTGCCTTTGCTCTGCTGAGCAGCCCTTTATATATTGGCTGGGACTTTTCAGTTTGGAAAAGAGATGACTAAGGGGAGATATGATAGAGGTCTATAAAATCATGACTGGCGTGTAGAAGGTAAACAAGGAAGTGTTATTTACTCCTTCTCATAACACAATAAGTGGGGGGGTCACCAAATGAAATTAATAAGCAGCAGGTTTAAAACAAACAAAAGGACGTATTTCTTCCCACAATGCACAGTCAGTCTGTGGAACTCTTTGCCAGAGGATGTTGTGAAGGCCAAGACTATAACAGCATTCAAAAAAGAACAAGATAATTCATGGAGGATAGGTCCATCCGTGGCTTAGCCAGGATGGGCAGGGATGCAAAACCATGCTCTGAAGTATCCCTAGCCTCTGTTTGCCAGAAGCTGGGAATGGGTGACAGGGGATAGATCACTTGATGATTCCCTGTTCTGTTCATTCTCTCTGATGCACCTGGCATTGGCCACTGTCGGAAGACAGGATACTGGGCTAGATGGACCATTAGTCTGACCCAGTACGGCCATTCTTATGTTCTTAATTTCAGGCACATACTGAAGTCTCACTGAAGTCAATGAGGCTTAAGCACATGCATAAATGCTGTGTTGAACCAGGGCCTATAAACATAAAAGCAATTATAATGGGTGGCTGTGCTTTATTTTTCATATCTGAAGTTATGTCAATAATAACACTTCTACCAGTAGATCTCCAAGTGCTGTACAAAGGAGTAGCATTATCTTCACTTTACACAAAGGGAAACTGAGGCACAGAGAGCAGGCGTGTCTTGCCCAAGGTCACCAAGCAGGCCAGTGGCAGAACTGGGAATAGAACCCAGGTTTGCTGAGTCCCAGTCCAGTGCTCTATCCAATAGGCCACACTGCCTCCTGTGAATGCACAAATTAGGCATTCCCAGCAAATAACCCACACAGCCCTCAGTGTCACAAAGGTTAGGCATCCCGCACTACAGCATGACTTTGTGTTGTGTTACCTATATCTCCAAGGCCGGATCCTCAGCTTGCGTAAACGGGCAGGGAAGTCAGTGGACCTATGCAGATTTACGCCGGCTGAGGATCTGGCCCCAGTTCCTTCTGTTTCCCACGTTAACAGTAAAAAGCAACACAGGGTACATTTTTATTCAAATTCCCACTAAAAGAACAAAAGCCCAAGAAAGTAATAATTTGATTCAGACAAACATCAATTTACACAGTTCTTCATCAGCCACCTTGGTAAACTCTGTTTGCACAGAACAGACAAAATAAAGGAAAGAAAGAAACGAGTACTAAGCAAATCAGTTACTAGAAATACTGTCGACACTGTAGAATAGTGTAAAATCTATTATTACTAACTTCAAACAACATGTAGGACTCCACACAAATTAACTAAGTAGGTGAGAGATGACATATAAAAAGCAGTTTTCTTTTAAACAAGACATTGCAATCAGGACACCTGGGTTCCATATCAGAACTGTTACAGTTCTGCTGCATGACCTAAGACAAATCACTTAACCTCTTTATGTTTCAGTTGCTAATCTATAAAATGGGTATTACTTACTCATAGTCTATAGGCACTTTGAGATTATTGGATTAAAAGTGCTAAATATTATTAATATGTCTCTGTTTAACAACGACTTCCAACAGAAACAACTCTACCTTTGATCTTTGCACAGATCTCCCAGGGACATCAATGAGACTCAGAGTAGAATGTGACCGAATGGGTCCCTTATGGAAAAAAAATCCAGACAGAGCCAAACACTCGCCTGTTTTCAGAAAAAAACTAATTGTTAACTCAATGGTTTGGGGTTTTCCTCTTCTGCCGTGACAGGGGCATTGAATGATCTGCACTTCTGCATGTTCTATTGTAATTCAAATGCGTGAACAAGACTTTCCCAGGCTGCTACAATCAGAATGAAGCCATTCCTCTGGAGCTAGAGAAGCTAGCTTCTTCGGGAAGTCTCATAGCATGTGCATTCCTTCCAGCAGTCTCTTCGAAGGAGTCAGGAGAAACTCCAGAGTGTTGTGAAACCCTGGCTATTTTAAGTATGTACTGGATAACCCAGCAACAGATTACAATGTTCTCATATGCAGAAAGGTAGGTGAGGTCACTGCACATTTCCATCCAGCTGATTAACAAACTAACAGGCAGGGATGCAATCTGAAACGTCAGGTGGCCCTGCCTGCTATGCTGAGTATGTTAATTAAATCAGTGCCCTCAAGAATCTGAGTGCCAATGGGAACAGTGAAGGGTTTTTTTTTTGCTGATGGAGACATTTTTTCACTGGAGGTACAAACTCTATTGAGATTAACAACACTCCTCGTATAGGCCAGACAGCTGTAAAAAGGTAACAACTTTCAATCGCTAGCAATCAGGTCTGGTTTCCAACCAGTGAACTTCAAGGTGTTTAGGCGCCAAAATCATATTCCCATCACTAAATAAATGTTTACACTCTATGAATGACTTTCAAGAGGTTAAACATCCCTCTATGATGGAAGCTTATTTTCCCATTTTCATTTTAAAATAGAAATTGGCACGCTAACTGTTTTGACATCCCTTGTCAAATCTAGCACTAATTTCTTTCCTTTCTTCAGCTGTTCCAAGTTTTTTCCAGTCTGGGGCTGTGATCCTGTAAACTACTTTGAATGTAACTTTATGCACAATTAGTCCCACTGAGCTCATGTGTGTAATGTTTTGCGCCTTGATATCCCAACTGTTTTTGGCATCTCTCTCTTATTCCACACTGGATGAATCAGACTTATGCAAACTAAAAATGTTTTACAACAAACCATATGTCAGCCAAAAATCACATTTATCTAGAGAATTTGGAGCTGTATAGATCAATGTATTGTTATTGCCCAAGTCTAATTGGAGAAGACCGCAACTTGACTGGATGGGATTTTCACATGGACATGAGGTGGCATATGCAAAATAATAATACATAATAAATGGCAATAAAGTAGCTGAGCAGATGTTAGTATTTAGGAGCGGGTCACCCTTTTATAACATTTGCAGCATTACAAACGACTTTGTAGGCAATAAGTTTTCTAGACCTACCTACGAGTTCTATACTTACAATAACCCCAGGGTAATAACCTCCAACAGTCACATTTTGGGTTCTTGTTGTAGCAGCTAGGCCCACCGTAAGAATTAATACTGACACAATGAGGAGAGTCACAGTTACGTAGAGGGAATTTCTTTTTCTTCTATTGAATGACCCTAAAAACACACATACACAATAGAATTCGCTAATTCCATCTGGGGACAGCAACCATTTCCCAAAGTCCCCCTCCCACCACCACATGCTGCCAAAGCTTGATTTTCTCTCTGACAATGTAATATTCAGCTCTTTTTTATTTCGGTCAGCCATTTCTCGCTTTAGCTGAATATATAAATCACTGTCTGGAATTAAGTTATATCTATCACTGTTTGGATATATAGGGACGGATCTCAGCTGGTGGAAATCTGCATAGCTCATTTGCCTTCAGTGGATTTATGCTGATTTGCACCAGATCTAGCCCTTAATGTCTGTGACAATTCAACTAACAAGGAATATTATTTTATTACTAGTACATGTATTAAATACATTCTTATTTAGTCTATTTGCTTTAGTCAAATTAAACAGCCACCATCCACTTTAAAAGGTGATCTCATCACATGATAATAAATACAGGCATCCAATCTTTTACATAAATGGGCATTAGTAACAACCATTTTTCCTCATCCCATGGCATAAATATTAAACTATAATTAAGCTGCAGGTATTTTTAGATGCTGTTTGTAAAATGAATTTGTGGATTATTAAAATGTATATAAACTGCCTATAAATACTTAAGATTATGGACTAGATTTTTAAAAAGTAAGTTTAGATATGTATAGGTTGCCTGAAAGCATGTAAATATAAAGTAATGATTCCATTAGCCAGCGGGAAAACCAGTTGTGATGTTCACACACTATTTTAACCCTGTTTATTCAATGTATATTTTGCAAAGTTTAAATCACTTTGCTAATCAATCCTTCTGATTACATTTTATAAATTATGTAAACAGAGCTGAGTAGAAGTCGAGTCCTGCTGGCAGGATAATATATTTCCCTTGCCTGGTTTTCTGGATTGCGAGTGCTTTTGGGAGCCATCGGGGTGATTCTAAATCTGAGTTATGCGAAGTCTATGGTTCTTAGACTCACCCAAACAGCAACTTCTAAACATTCTAAGGCCTTCCCCAATAGTCTCCACCTGGTATTATAAAGAACCAGCCCAGAGGAGCTGCTAAGTCTGCAGGGAGAAGGAAGGACCAGTCTAACAGAGGAGAATCCCACACTCAAAGCTCCCTAGACAGAGACAAAGGAGAGAAGTGCTGGTCCAGATTCCCCCACACCTTAAAAACAGTGAAACCTATACAGCAATCAGCCTTATGAGACAGCCTTCTGTTCTGAGGCCATATTCCCCAGGCACACCAGCTGTAATCCCAATTCGCCTTTCTTTCTGGTTTACACACAGATTTTGTATCGATATAACTATGTAGGTTAGGGGTATGATTTGTTAGCTAGTTATATTGGTACAACCCTGACTGTGGGTGCAGTTTTATCAATATAAAGGTGCCTTTTAACAGTACAGTTTATTCCCCTTCCCATACAGGAATACCAGTAAAAAACACCTTTATACTAGGAAAACTGCATGCACACAAGAGGGATTGTACTGCTTGAACTCTGCCAATACAGTGAAAGTGGAACACCTTCTGTTTGTAGACAAACCCTTAAGAAGGCCACCTCCATTAAGCAACCAGTTTTCTGTAGGTCTCTTGAATGGTCACTGACTAGTACATTGCATTTCACTGTGTATTAAGAAACTCTTTAAGGTGTATTATAGAAACTCTCCCTCCTTACACACACTGACATCAGGGCAGCCTGATCAACGTCCCATTGCATCAGATGACATCGCTGTACCACACACTTCAACCTCTTGTTGAACAGCCACTGGGATCACAATCTTGTAACTCTACTTGTGCAAGTATTTCTGACTCCCATTGATTTCATTGGGACTGCATATCTAAATAAGGTTTATTCATGTGAGTAAGAGTTGTAGGAGCAAGGAATAATACCAGTAATATTCCGGTTCCAGGCTGATTGAATTAACTTTAGCTGCAGACGTCATGGTCAGTTATCATGAGGAGCGACAGCCAGCCAGCTACAAATATTTGGCCCTTAGCTCTGCATACCCCTCGCCAGTTACTTTTCCTGTAGTTTCACCATTCCTCCCGCTGACATCGCCCGCCCCATCCCGAGCCATCAACTTCAGCAAACTCCTTTAACTTTTTTAAAGCACAGTCTGAAAGTGCAGCTAGGGAAAAGTTCCATTTCAGAACTAACACAATTTGCTACTGTGGTAGGGGGACGAGTTCCGCTCCAGGATGGATGCTCAATCCTCCTTTGTTAACGTTATTGATTTGTTTTCTATTTCTGATACCCTGTGAAAAAATGCCTTGAAAGATTGGCAAAAACTCAGGGAAATAATGCCTCATGAGATAACAGCATGAGACTGGGGAGACCATCTCTAGTACAAGTGCTTACCCAGGCTAATGTTAACTAACAAAGAACAGGTACAAAACTGCTTATAAAAGGAAAAAAAAAAAAGAATTTCAAACAGCTTCCCCTAAAGCCACTTCCTTCAAAGATTGTCAAAGTGGCTCCTAATATCCAGGCCAGATCTTATCACCAGGCCCTGGCTTTTACTGGCTACAGGATGAAATTAGTGTGCGTGTGTATAGATGGCTAAGTATTTTTCTGTTTTGTATTTTGCTAAATGTGCCAAATAAGTTAATGCAAAATATGCCCTGCTAAAGCATTTAAAATCTGTTGACTCTTAAGGAGAACGTTTTCTTTGTATTTACTGCCTGACAAATATTAAAATGTAGCTTTCCCTAATGCTCCATTGTTTGTATTTTATTTATTAAATCCCAATTTAATTATTTTTATAAATTTACATTCCAGATGGATACCTTAAATTCTCAAAGACTTACAGGTTTAACTTAGCCAAATGGGCAGAGCTTGTGGAAAGAAAAGTAAAAAAAAATGTCATCAACTCTTTTATAAAGAAGAACTTAAATTAGTCCTGCATTTTGTCTCATACAGAGTTGCTGTATTAACCAACTTTAATCAACGGTTAATACGCAAGCTAGTTTGAATGTACACTTGAAGTGGTTTATCTATAAAATAGCATACAAGTGTGGTTTGAATGCATGCTTAATTGTTTTGGGAAGGAGAACGGAGGAGTTAGAGATCAGTGCTGTTTGTGTTTGTGTTGTATGTTTTGCTAACATATTTAAAATGAGTCTGTCCTTCAAAAAGATCATCCATTTTAAACCTTAGGAGCGTCCTGGTATTCACAACTCTTTAGTATATAACACACATCCCCACTGGAAGAAACAAGCCAACACCAGTTTCTTAGGTTACTTTTAAAAGTTTAGGGTAGTTTATCTTTATTTATATTGTCATGTGTATATCCTTAGACCATTGACTAAAAAATAAAATGATTATCAGAAGCGGAGAAGATGGCACACAATGAGCACATATTTAACACTGATTCCTTGGTCATTAAGCCTTTTTACCATTCATTTCCTGTATTTAAAATTGTACTAGTGGTTTTGTGCAATTATTTAATTGAACGTACTTGGATTTGTAATCACCGCATTAAAGCATATCTTCCTCTAAAACAAGGAAGAGGCATGAAATATGTATTTATTTGTCATGATTCTCGTAAGGATAAATTCAATACATTGAAAAAAATATCTTTCAAAATAGCCAAACGGCCCCATGAATGCATATGGCCAAAAGTGATACCTAGGGGAGGCGGGACGTCTAGTATGGGCCAGCTTATTGGACGAAAAGGGGACGGAAAAAGATAAGAGTTATTATCTGGCTCAGGCTCACAATATCTCTAGCGCAAGCTACTTTTACGGCCGTAAGACACTGTCGACTACCTTGTATCCTGAGCTGTGACTCCGGCACAAACACCCTTTCAAACAAACCTCACACAAAACAGTGTTGATACATTCAGTGGCTCCCAAGAACAAGTCTACAGCATTCCCCAACACTGCAGCACCTGACCCAGAATTAGTGCTTTATTAAAGCATAAAGCAAGACCAGGTAGCGTTCATGATAAATAAAAAGGCTGAAAAACACATTAGCTTCGTGCTCCCCCACCGAATTAGGGAGATAAGGGGGAAAGTTCTTGGAGAGAAGCTATGAATTCTGCAACATTTCCTGAAATGCTGCTCCAATTGCAAACGGGAAGCTACTTAATCATACAGTGTTTGTTGTAAACCTGCATTGTCGTGTGTTAGACACCATATTTAGCTGAAAATGGATTTCAGAGTCATGCTTGAGCATCAAATGATTAAACTTCCGCTTACAAATGAGCAGATTTAAAAACAACCCTATGTAGGCGCTACCAATGGGCAGGAGGGATGGCAGGTAAGCACCAGCGTAAACAGAAGCCATGGCTTGCAAAAAGCTTTGCAAAATGTGGCCCGGAACAAGAAGTTTAGAGGCATCACCGAGGCAGGCCAGCCTTTTCACTTGGAGAAAAAGACGAGTGGAACCACTCGCTGCCTGCTCGTGCTGTCACTTGCGTGTCTGTGCCAGGCGCAGGAGGCTTGGGCCCCGCTGCATTGGTGTGTGCACAGAAGTGTCAATGAAATGCCAGCCACCAACGGAACGGCTCCCATCCGGATCGCACCGCAAGGCGCGGTAACTCCGCTGCCGGCCAGCGATTTGCACCGCGGAGCAGGAGCAGCAGGCCCCGCGGCTCTCTCTCGGCACCAATTCAAGCCGATTCGCTTGCCGGAGCGGGGCCTTGCAGGTGGAAACGGGGGGCCGCTGCGGGGAGCTGAGCGAGCCGCCTTTCCCCCGGCTGCCCTCAGACCTGCCAGCTTCCCCCAAGGCGCCCGGGGAGGGGGCCGAGCAAGAGGGCGCCGCCTGCCTGGCCAGGGGACCCGCCAGCCGGCCCTGGGGCAGGGGGAGCGGGGCTGGACGTGCCCGCCCCGGGGCAGGCGGCTGCCTGCAATCCCGCCTCACCCGAGCCCGGCCCGGCTGCACTTACCCGCGGAGTCAGGCAGGGGGACGGCGCTGGAGCGCTGCTGAGTCAGGGACTGGCGCATGGTGCCGGTGCGGCGCTGCCAGCCGGGCCCCGGGCGAGCGAGCGAGCGCCTAGAAGGCAGGAGCGCGGCGCCTCCTCCCCGGCCGTCTGCGCCCAGCAGCGGCCGCGTCCCCCAGCGCAGCCCGCCTGGCCATGCCCGGGCCAGCTGCTCTGGAGGCGGCCGCCGGCGCCTGCGCAAGGCTTCCCCTGCCCAGCTCGGCGGGGATCCCGCTCCCCACCGCAGGAGGAGCCCCGGGGGGTGCCAGCCCCGTGTCTCCCCCCCATGGGCCAGCAGCAGCCGCGGGCTTCAGACCGGCTGGGCGAGTGCGGGAGAAGGGGGCAGCCGGAGAACCATTAACAAGCCCAATAACAGCAATGGCTAGTTCAGTGCAGTGCCACCTTGCAGCGATGCCCAGTGGCCTCTGCACGGAGCCCGGCCCGGATCCCATCCCGTTAGCGGGGACAGGTTGTTTCCAAAGAGTTCTTCCATTTGCAGGTCATCCCTGCACGGTTCAGTCCTGCGGATCCCCAAAGCTCTGGGGTGTTCAGTGCTGGCTCCAGCCAGCGCTGCAGATGGGTCAGTGGCAAAGTTAGCCTCCAGGGCTGGGTTCTGATGCCGCAGTTCATACCCATGTGGTTTAGGGGTATTGAAGAGAGCTGAGTTTTTTTTAAACTAATTGCAGAGATGAGCCAAAAATTGTGGCATTCAACTCCCAATACTTTCTTCCCCAAAGTTCAGGGTACTTGCCCTGTTCCCCACGGTTGGTGTTTTTCTACATGTCTGAGCTCCTGGAGTCATGTGTTTAGGTGAGACTCTGAGCTTTTATTAAAAAATGAGTTGAGTTTCTAACCCCCAAGGCTGCAGAGAAAAGCTTGAAAGTGGGGGCCCAAAAAGCTCAAAATCCAGAAGGCAAATAAAGAGAACTTCAACTTTATTGTTCAAAATCTTGGGGGGGAGGGGCTGACTCATTATTTTTGCATCCTTGGGGTTGGTAACACTGTTTGGATCCAGAGTTTTTCATTTGGATCCCATCCTGAACCTCTAGAATTTAAACTGGACTAGGACAGCTTTAAAGAGAAGAGGAAACATTCAGATTTAGCATATTAAACTGGTTCTATGTAAAACTTGGCTGTTTCCTTTAGCGAGGGCTGGTGCAAAGTCTACCCAGGTTCCATCCACTTGTGATTACACCCACCAAATTCCACTCTGAGTATCATTTTCAGACAAATCCCAAATCTCAAAGCAAATCTTTCTCTAAATCCAAGGCTTCTGCTGGTTTTGTGTCAAAACCACGCAAGGAATCACTGGTGTCAATGTAAAACCATACATTGTCCCAGTCTGGCTTGAAAGGTTGGGGAGCTTCCGCAAAGCTGCTAGCAAACCTGGTCTGAGCTTCATATTCATACATAAGACACAAAACCAATCATGTTTTATAGGATTTGTGTTTTATCTTGATTGTTTCTCACAGCTGTGTAGTAAAATAATGCTATCTGAACTGCTGAGTGTTCACTAGGTTTCTCGGTCTTCCCCCCTATCAATTTATTTCACACCAATGGCCCATATGCCCACCTTGCAAATATTATCTTCATTTTCTGCTGGTTGTAGAGGCCAATCTTGTAAATCCTCTCACTAATGCATTCTTACAGGATCTGGCCCTTAGGTCCTAACCCTGTAAATGAACTATATGCAGGCAGACTCCATTGAAAGTCAAAGCAAACACTCTCTCTGAGTCCAATGGGATAGATCAGGCCTGGAGACACAAGGAATAATATCCCTACGTCTCTGAGAACTTACCCCTGTAGATTGGGCAGTTGGGAACGTGGCTCATTATCTGCTAAAAATACAAAGTTTATTTACTTTAAAAAAAAAACATGGATTGCACCTTTGTTTGAATAGCTGTCTAAAATGGCAGATTATTATTGATATTATAGTAGCATCTAAAGGCCAGGATCTCAGTGTGCTAGGCACTGTGCAAACATATAACAAAGACAGTACCTTCCCCAAGAGCTTACAAACTAAGTGGGAGACCATAGACAATGCAGGGATACAACAAACAGACAAGGAGAGCATGAGGAGACAATGGAACACTGGTCAGCTGGAAAAACAGTGCTCAGCAAACCAGCTGCCATTGTCCAGCTTTTTGTAGGCATCAAGGCAGAAAGGAGTTTAAGGACTTGAAAGAGGACAATGTGGCTATGAGGATGTTTAGGGAGAGCTCCTCCCCTGCATAAGGAGCGGCAGGAGAGAAGGGTGAGGATGTTTGTTGGAAAATTTAATAATTGGGCAATCAAGACTTTGCAGAACAAAGGGGGAGGCCAATGACTCAATGGTGTAGCAAAGGGGCCAAGTCTGATTGAGTTGTATGTGTGTAAGGTAGGCTGACTCATGGATCTGGTGTGGGAAAATCCTGATATTCAGACAAAATACATTGCCACTTTTAACAAACATTCTTCCCAACTACTCACAGCAAAGACCCATACATGCTGAACTTCATACCTCAGACTGCTCGTCTAGTCCATGAGGCCCTGCCCCTGCTTCCCTCTTCCCACTCCTTCCTCGCACCCATTCTAACCCCTTCCCCAAAGTCCCTGCCCCAACTCTGCCCCTATTCCAACCCCATCCCCAAATCCCAGCCCCGCCTCCTCCCCTGAGTGCGCCATGTCCCCGCTCCTCCCCCCTCCCTCCTGGAAAGTCCTAAGCGCTGCCAAACAGCTGTTTGGCGGGGGGAGCACTGGGAGGTAGGCGGAGGAGCAGGGATGCGGTGCGCTCGGGGTACACGGGGAGGGGAGCTTAGCTGCCAGTGGAGGCGGTGCCTATGGTGGGCCGTAGCAAATAACTTGGCCCGTGGGCCTCGTGTTTGAGACCCCTGCATTAGACCATCCTCCCATAGCTTTAGCACAGGAGAAAGCTGCACTTAGCCTCCAAAGCATCATTTCTTGTTTTATCCCAACAGTGATTGTTTTGTAATGGCGCCAAAGCCTCATGAAATGGGAGACCTGTTTAAAGTCTTGGCTGCACAAACAGCATGCTGTTAGGAGGTAGCTAAAAGCTGAATGAGCCTGTGCTGTTTTTTGGTGGCTGCTGTCGTGGAAAGAATCACCCACGCATTGATTTTGGTTCACAGACTCAGAACCTGAGGCCTTTATTGCAATATGTACCAAACGCGTTTGGGGTGCAGTTCGAGAACTGACACCCCTAGGACCGCTCGCAGGCGGCTTTTATTTCATTAAACCGCAAGCAAAGTACAAACAATACGTCATGAGTTAAGAAATTGGGGTTGGGGGCAGTCCCCCCTTCCCGGCACCTTCCTTACTATTTGCCGAGAATTGGGTGCTTTATTTGGGTACAGGGGCGCTTGGTGGTTTTCCCCCAGGGGTGGTACTTGGCACCAGTTTGGGTACATTTCTCGGCAAGGTACATATTATTTTCCGGGGTTTTACGGTTAAGGGGGTTACCAGGGGACGCCTAAAGAAGATCTATGATTGGCTAATTTTGCAGATAGCTGGAATTGGAAAGTTTGCAGATAGCTGCAACTGCAAGAGTGATCAGCTCGTTGCAAAAGCAATTTCTTAATGTAAGCTGATATTCTGTTTTCATAAACAAGTGGTTATTATTATATTTCATAAACTTGCGGTTATTATATTGCTAAAGCAGTTTCTATTGTAGCCTTTAGCATTGTTCTTTGTTTTTTCTCCCCCCTCCTCTGGCCATTGCCCTTGACCAAGTTTGGCAGAGAACTGTGTTGTTCGGTCTTGCTCAGGCCTGGGCCTGTACTGCTTTGTGTAAGGGTAGTCAGCATAACAGATCTCTGTTGGAGGGTTTATTTCGGGGCCTTCAGATTTAAAGCTTTGGCTATTAAAAAGAAGGCCCTCCCCGTTCTATTTCCCCACACTGCTATTCTGTGCTCCAAATTCTGAGCAAATCAAGTACCTCACCCTCATGATAGCAAAGAAAATTGGCAAGAAGCAAACCAAGCAGGGATAGCTGCCTGAGTTTGCTACCAGCCTGAAACAATAGCTCTTGGATGTGTAAACAGCCCCATTCAAATCAATGGGATGTTGACTCTGACGCTTGATGGTAATTTTAATGGCAACATCTATTTTACTGCTGATCAAAACATACAAGAAAGGAGAGAGAGGATGATCAGCTAGTGACACTCAGAGCTGCAAGAAAGGAGATGGATGCTCATTATATGAAGATCTGTGCAATCTACCATGAGTGGCATCTCAGTTGGGTGAGGTTTGGTTTGTGGGCGGGGCTTGGAAGAGACCCACTGCTTTTTCCCCCAGTTCTGCCCCTGCCAGTCTGCATGTATGAATTAGGGATTTGAATGTGCTGATGCACACCGTTACCCAGTTTTCACATACAAGCATGGAGCTGTTAGCTATGGACGGATGGGATCTGTGCATGCAGTGGAGTTGTATCCACTTTGACCTGAAAGGGCCACCTATTCGAGTGCGCGAGCTGGTCAGACTGCGTGCCAATTCCATCCCAGCCTTCTCTGCTGAGACAGCCAACAAAGGGGCAATTGGGCTAATGGTTTCTGAGCCAGGCATCTGCCCCGTAACACCTGAACTGAGTTTCTTAAAATAATTTTCAGAGGGTAACAACTTTCAGTCATTACTGACCTGGGCTGGGCTCAAACCATTAACTTTAAGGCTCTGATCCTGACTGTACTGAGAACGGCATGCACCTCAGCCTATGTGGATTCTCATTTGCTGCAGTGAGACTCCACGGAGGCACAGGGGTCTGCTCACACAGTGCTCCATGCAGGATCGGGGCCATTGCCTTAAAGACGAATGGCTCACCTCCCATTGCCAGTTCACATGCCGAGGACAAGCAAAGCTTTGTGCATCCAGTCTCACTTGTGAAGCTCTAAAATGGCTTTCCTTGCCAAGCTGTGCTGTAAGTTCACTTCTAAAGCCCGTTGAGTTTTGTGCGAGCACAGACAGGGCTGTTCTCTTGGCTGACGAGGGAGCTGGAAGACTGCATCTCGAACAGCGGAATTCCTAGGATTGGACATTGTGGGTACATCAGGGATTGTTTAGAGAAGTAATAAAAACAAACATCTCAACAAAAGGCAATCAGAATGTGAGGAATCTGCCAAAACACCCCTAGCCATACTGCTGAGATCTTGGCTAAACTTCTAACATGTGCCTTTCTAACCCCCAAGCCTAAAAAATCTGATTTACATC